AGCAATCATCACCCAGATAAGCAAAGGTTACCACCAGGCACACAATCAAGCAGTAAACATGCTAAGCAAGGAACTACCAGAGGAGCAAAACAAACCCCCCACCCCCACCAGCACTTCCATCAATTCCAAGTTCTCTTGTCTTGTCCATATATGGTTTGTTCCAGTAGCCCACTTACCGGCAGATTGTCCTGGTTCCCCAACATCTGACGTGGACCTTGTTAATCCAGGCAATGTCCAAGCCGGCATAACTCTCTTAGTTTGTGTCACTCTCATATTTGAGGTAGGCAGGTGAAGTGTTACGGGGTCTTTGCCTAAGGACCCCTACAGGTAAGGTAGGTACCAGGCAGGATTTGAACCCCGGTCTCCTGCGTCAAAGGCGGTGCTCTTACCACTACGCTATCCAGCCGCTATATATACATATACATACATACAGAGAGAGACTTGTTAGTATCACAGCAGTTGCATCAGATAAAGCACAGGCAGGATGTATGGCTATGTGTGAAAATAAACTCATGCATGCACAAATACACACTTTCTCTATGTCTTACTGTCTACCTGCATTGCATAACTCTGTACTCATGCAAGCGAGTGGCTGGCACAGAAGAGGGCAACCTCCTTTGTGGAACTCATGGCCCTTGGTTGGGAGAGAACACAAAAGGAACCTGGTTATTTCATCAGTCAGCTTGTACAAGCTGGAAATCATCTCCACAAAAGTTTTCCAGGATTGCTACTTGGAAGCATTTTTCCAAAGCCATTCTAACTCCATGAACAGTTATTCACTGCGTGTAACTCATCAATGACTAGAGCAGTTTTTTTTCGAATTTGGCAATTTTAAGATGTGTGGACCTCAACTCCCAGAATTCCCCAGCCAGCACTCATGAAATTCTGGGAGTTGGAGTCCACACATCTTAAAGATGCCAAGTTCATAAAACACTGGACTAGGACACACCACACAATGGGTACGTGTATATCCTTACCGTTTTATTTTTCAGCATCCCACAAAGAGTCCAGTTTTGATGTGGTGTTATCAGGGCTGGTACCCGGCAGCCTAACGCAGCACAACACCGAAGTTCTTGCTGAAATAGCTCGGGTTGTCAAGCCTGGAGGTCGTGTCCTTTTAAAAGAAGCGGTGACCACCGAAACAGGTTTGCCTTTGGCCCTTCTCTTGCTGTTGGCCATTAATTGGGGCTTTATTAGTCTAAGCAGCCCTCACTTTTACCCTTGTGGATAATAAAAGGCCAGTGCAGAGTTGGTTCATTTAAACGCATGTGTATTAAAATCATGGGAGTATCGGGAGAAGCCCTTTGGGGAGATGTGTACTGAATTCTGAAAGGTGCAGTCTTTCTTGAATCAAGCCCGACAGTTACACGGATATGTCCAAGGAGTTTTCTCAGCACAAGCCTACAAGTGGGTTGTCACTACTTCGTCCAAGAGGTGTTTTTGGCTTTCCAGATGAGCTGGAAGATCTCCCATCCAAGTAACAGCCAGGTCTGACTCTGCTTAATTTCTGGGCCTAGACAGAATTAGCCTAATGCTGTCACCTGCTGAGACATTGTGTACGCCAGACTATACCAGTTTGAAGAGGAGCAGTGTTTGATTTTAACCGGCCACAAGCCTTCATTCTGGACAGGGAGAAACAGCTTTTGAAATAGGGCAACAGCCAGCCCTAGTTAGAACTTGTCCATCATAATCCCTTCCCTTGCATTTTCTCCTGCTGCTCTTGTTCTTATTACCTGGCCCAGGAGCTGCGGCCCCACCGGTTTTGCCTCTCACCTTCAGTTCCACCTTTCCCTGTTTCCCAAGATGTGGACTGTGGTTCTGTTGCTGTTTTTTTCTTCCTGTTTTTCTGTTTTAAAAAAGAAAGTGGCTCAGGAACATGTAGATTCAGGTACAGTAAAAAGCAAAGCAGTCATGTTTAAACACAGAAAACAGAAAGCCAGCAGACTAAGATACGATATATTGTAAGAGTATATTAACATACATCTAAAAATGAGTATACGCGGGCTCCGTAGTGCTGGTCTTACAAATGAAAGTGCTTTCCCTTGTGTATCCACCAGTAAAATTGCGTGTGAGGTGGGACTAGAGGTGATATCACTTCAAGCTATTTAGCATGTTAATATTAAAACCTGCACTTTCAGTTGAGACATTTCCTGACACAACTTCCAGTCTTTTTCCTGTGAAACATGGTGAAGGAAACAAGATACAGTTAATTAAAGTCATGTCATGATTGACTGAATAAATCAGTTTGCCTATAAGAATAAAGATCAACTACAGGAACTTGGGTAGCTTGCTGGAAATTGTGAAAGTACATAAGAAGAGCCTGATCCATTGCATTCCTTTATTAAATCAATCTACAGCAGTATCTGGAGTGATTCGGAGAAATCTCAGAAGTTTTTTTTTCCCCCTGTTCATATCTCACTCTTGATTATGGATGTTTGCCGTCTGTTGTATTTCCCAGGTAACAATGACAAACTCAAGACAGTAAGCAAACTACGAACAATTGTGACACTCTCTGGATTGGTTGAGGTAAAAGAGGTAAGCATTTTGATGAAGAGTTTTCAGGAGATTGTTTTAGAAGATTCTACAGTTTGTAGGATCCCCAAGGACTCCCCAATTTTACATTTTAAAGAGGCTTTTATGCTGCTGTTCAAAAATACAGCTTCACAAAGCTGGTTGCTAGAACTTGTATATATAAAATATGCAATACAGCAAGCCTTATAATGTCAGCTCAAACTTGGAAGGAAATTGCAATATATTTGAGAAGCAAAGCATTGGGTTTACCTAGAGCAGTGTTGTCCAAACTTGCATGGGGCTGGGGAATTCTGGGAGTTGAAGTCCACTCATCTTAAAGCGGCCAAGTTTGGACAACACTGCTCTAGGTAAACCCAATGCTTTGCTTCTCATGGGGCTGGGGAATTCTGGGAGTTGAAGTCCACTCATCTTAAAGCGGCCAAGTTTGGACAACACTGACCTAGAGAATAAGCAAATATGCCTCTGAAAAGTCTTCCTCTGGGTTTAACAGGGGAAAATGTTATTTTGTCTGTAATTAGCCATCATTGGTAATAACTACCATTTTGTGCAGGTCTTCCCTGCCAGGATGGATTAACTGGTAACGTAACTTTTTCCCCCCTGGCATTCCAGCTGCAGAAGGAGGCTTTAACTTCAGAGCAAATTCAGACTATCCAGAAGCATCTAGATCTGCAATGCAATGAAATTCTCATAGTTCAGCTGGAAGGCAAGAAGCCCAATTTTGAGGTTGGATCTTCAAGTCAGCTCAAGCTTTCTATTGTCAAGAAACCCACACCTGGTAAGGAAGAGAGAGACGGAGTCTTCTCAGATCTTCCCCCCAGGTTCACTAAGCACATCAGTAGAAATCATTCTAAGTATGGGTAGATGATGATTAAATTTATATCCCGCCATTCTTTTGTCCAATTCAAGGCAGTATATAGAATGCTCCCGCCTCCTATTTTCCCTACAACAACAACCTCGCAAGGTGGCTTGGGCTAAGAGAATTGACCAGCCCAAAGTCACTCAGCTGGTTTCATGCCTAAGGGAGAACATTGTCTTCCAGGCCAGGACCTTCACCACCACACCAAACTGGTTCTCAAAAGCATGGTCCTTTGGCTGTTGGTTAACAAGTCCTGTCTTATTTATAGACCTCATTTGAGCCTGTTTAGGGGAAAAAATAATACTGATCAGACTTTCCATGATTTGTTTTGGTCCTTCTGAAGAGGCCCATTAAAGAACAGCCTGGGAGTCATCTGTTTAGCCACTGAAAGAGTCTTGCCTTTTAAAACACAGATTCTTTGAGGTGCTGTGCCATTCATAATCCTTCTGTATTTTCAGATGTCAGTGGAAAATAATATTATGTAAACTGGTAGGTTCCTTGGTAAGGAGGATAATTAGGAGCACCATCATTCTCAATTATGTGGCAGCCTAATTTTATCATGGCATTCTGTCTGATAGAAATGCAGAGGTCATGTGCCCCTGAGTACAGGGTAACATGTTTCTGGTCCAATGCCTTATTGTTCTACCTGGAGCAAAAGAAAAGCATTATAATATTTTGTTTCAATGGATTATTAAAGAAGATGCTGTCTTCCAAAATCCTAGCTCTGAGGTATCAAAAGTCCCCCAAATGGATTCATATCATTGGACCAAGAAGAAGTTTTCAGACTTATCACATCACCTTTATAACTGTGCTCTCTACGGTCACTTGGCTGTTTCAGAAAAACCAAGGGTGGATCCCACTGCTGCAAAACTCTGGACTCTTTCTGCCAACGACATGGATGATGAGGACGTGGTAGGTGCAGAAGGGTCCCTCCAGTGGCTGCCAGACTACGTCACTGAAATGTGATGCTCTGCCTTGATGATTTGTACTGGCTATGTTTTCTGTATTTCACATTTTCCCTGAGCCATCTGCTCAGCCAGAAAAAAAGGAGCAAAGTAAGGTCCCTCGGCCACTGAAAAGCTGCCCAGCCCTGCTGCAAGCAAGCTGAGTTTTAAAAATATGTCAGTATTTTCTGCCCAGAAATCTGGATGTTATACAGTTCCCATGGTTTGATTGCTACATTAGTTGTTTTATTCCTGCTACTTACCAAAGTCTCCAAAGCTGTTCAGCAACTCTTCACATTTAGAAACAAACTTCCCCAAATGGTGGAAGGATGGCTTTAATGTAACAACAGGAATCTTTGTTTCCTCTGGATCAAGGACTGTTTGGGATTTGTTTTTTGTGGGTCCTTATTGTCTTCAGGATCTCCTGGATTCAGATGAGCTTCTGGATCCTGAGGATTTGAAAAAGCCAGATCCAGCATCTCTCAAAGCACCTTCTTGTAAGGAATCTGGAAAGAGGAAAGCCTGTAAGAATTGGTGAGTATTGCAGTACTGAAAACATGGTAGCCTAGAGACAGAATCAGTTTGAGATCACAAACCTGATGGCTTGTTCCCAAGAACAAGTGAAGTAGCATCTTTTATGGTCTTAATAAGGATTTGGTAACTAACATATGTAACTCAGCTTATTATTATTATGTTTAGAGACTTCATTACTAGGATCAAATGTGCCACAGAGACATGCACCTGAAAGATGATAACAAAAATGCTGCAGAGAAAATACAGCTAGGAAATATAAAAACTAGATTTAATTCTATGAAAACTTTCTGAATCAGTATTTCTCAAACTTGACAACTTTAAGATGTGTGGACTTCAACTTCCAGAATTCCCCAGCCAGCATGGGTAGCTGGGGAATTCTGGGAGTTGAAGTCCACACATCTTAAAGTTGCCAAGGATGAGAAACACTGTTCTAAATGAACATTCTTAAGATGGGGTTGAACACATTTATTTTGGGTTAAATGAGGAGTTGGAGTTACTTAAATATTGACAACATTGAAAGTGACAATTCTTGGAGTTTTTCCCTTTTGAGAACAAAAGAGCAGATGAAATGCTAGGAAGGAAGGAAAGGCAGACACGCATAGATGTTTCCTTGTTAGAGAGGATTTACAAGGACAAAGCAATCTTCATTGTGTGTCTGTGTTTGTTAAACTTACAGAATCTCTTTCCTTTACAGCACCTGCGGCCTTGCTGAAGAACTAGAGCAGGAGAAGAAAAATGCACAGCCAAGATCTGCTTGTGGCAATGTAAAAACTTTTTTTCCCACTCTTGATCCAGACATTGTTTGGTCTAACAGCAATTAGAATTTAATGCCGGCTATGTGTCCTACAGTGATAATTTATAGAATAAGGATATTTATTAACAAGAAATGGGCCGTTGGTAGTTTTATTGGTTGTTTTTATATATTTTTAGTAAGGAAGAGATAGGGAGGAAATGCTATTTTAGAGGATGCTATTTATTTTCTCAGGGGAGGAAATGCCTGTCCCATTGGAATGCATGCTTCCAGTTTAATTCTTTTTTTTACAGAAATGCTGGTTTTGTTTCATGCGCAAGTTTAATTGAAGGGATTTCAAGCAATTGACCAGATTTTCTAAAGTAATAATTCTTTTGATGTGGGGAATCAGCAGCCAACATCCACTTTTATCATCTGCATGTGTGTGTATGTTCTGGCATGCGTATTGTAGTGCAGTGGATTTGGGGTCTTGGTGCTGTAACACAATATAGATCCAGGAGGGCAGGTTCAGGATGAGATACTTCCCTGTGTGGAGAGGCATTGGAGGCATTGATCACCTGATATAGCAGCTGTGTCACAATGTCCCTCCTGTTCCTTACCTAGTTGGATTATTCATTTATTTATCAAATTTAATAAAGGTGCCCACTCTAGTGGGCTCTGGGTGGCTTAAACAGTATAATATTAAATTAAAACAATTAAAAATACAAACAGAATGAAACAAGACAAAAACAACCATCAAAGCAAAGCATGACAGCCCCCTGCAACACACTCATTAATCCCAGGCCTAGAACCAAAGCCAAGCTTTAAGGGCTTTTTGGAACCCCAGGAGAGGTGTCTCTGGGGGGAGGCTGTTCCAGAGGGTGGGGCCCGTGACAGAGAAGGCCCCCTTCCTTGCTCCCACAAGATGACATTGTTTAATAGAAGGGACCTGGAGGGCACCCTCTCAGCCCAAATGTAATGAGGTGCTAATGACTACTCAGATGGAATAAGAGCAACATAAGCAGCCCCTTGGCTCTGCCACCAGTCTGCGTCTGGCTCCGGATCTGACCTGAGCTTTTGGGGCTGGTTTGGCCCCTTTTGTTCCCTGTCCTTGCATGAAGGGTGAAAGTAATCCGGAACGCAGGTTTCTTCTTGTTTGGAAAAGGGCAAGGGCTGTGGTGGTTTAGCCTTCTTAAGAGGTCGCCTTTTGTCCTCTCTAGTGCTACCTGGGGGATGCCTTCCGCTGTGCCAGCTGCCCTTACCGAGGCATGCCAGCCTTCAAGCCTGGTGAGAAAATCCTTCTGAGCGAAAACAACCTTCAGGACTCCTGAAAGAGGAGCAGCAGCCAATGGCTTCCTCTGCGATTCTTCATGGTTTGGACACAACTCACGCAGGGTGGTTTCTCTAATAAAGAGGAAGGGAAGTCTGGACTTGGTGGGTAATTAGGAACCAGAGAGGTGGACCAATGTGAGTTAAAAGGAGGGACTCATGCTCCAGATTCCCTTCTCAGCTGGGATCACTTTCAGGACTCATCCCTTTCTGGCATCTTGACTGCCAATTCTTTTTAAGGGTGCATGGGGGTTTGCATCTAGATTCTGGCCATTATCATATGCTCTGTAGATGAAAAGATTCTGCTAGTAAGCAGCATCAGCCCTGGAGCTACTCAGAATTCGAAAGTGCTACCTTGTCTTACTGAGCCAACGCATGAGAAACCTTTTTGTTTACTTGGCCTGCAGAATGTGGCACTGCAAAACACCAAACAGTGTAGGTGGGTGGTGGGTGATGTTGGCTTGTAGTCAAAATTGCATAGTCTGTCTTCATTCTCAGTTTTGTGCCAATGACGGGATGTGAGGATTCAAAATTAAACTTGTGAAACTCCTACGTTGCTTTCATTTTACTTTAGTGCACAAAGGTCTTGATCATCATCTCCTTGAGGATTCTTATGCAAACTTCACTATTCCAGCAACATCTTTTTTTTTCTTTTAAGAAAGTTTGAGGGTCCAGATTACTGTGGTAGAAGTACTGTCTCAGAAGTGAGAGCAGTGAAAGGTTGTTTGATCTGAAACTGCTTCCCTGCTCTTCTAGAAAAGGCTTCCCCAACGTGGAGCTTGACATCCATTGGCTGGGGATTACGGAGCAGAGAATAGGTTGGTTGGTTGGTTGGTTGGTTGGTTGGTTGGTTGGTTGGTTGGTTG